TCTATATCCCAAATAGTTATTTTTAGAAGGGTGAATTGCATTAAACCACTATTTCCCATCCGCGTTTTGCACTAAACCCCATTTTTCTAATTTTTTACCAAAAAACCCCCCTCAACTATCCGTGAAGGATGATTTAACTGGCGGAAGTTAGCTGAAAATGAGCTGTTTTGACATTAAGTTTTCTTATATATTTTTAAGACAAAAATGCCACTGTACTTATTTTAATATACCCTTCATATATATATACTTCATTATTACTTTTAGCCATTACAACATCACGTTCTCTTCTTCTTGCTCAACTTCTTTTATTTACTCATATATATATATATATATATATATTTATTTATTATACCACTATAATATTATATATAATATGTATCATAATATAATGTTATATTTAATATATAGTATTAAATATTATTTATATTATATTTGCATTTCCATCCAGTCTTCATACCTATATAAATCTAGGTTTTTTTTTAAAATTTATCTGCTAATTTTTTTTTTAATTATATTGTACATTTATTTATTTGGTTTTTATTGATTTTCATTTTATACAGATTTGTTAAAAGGATTCCTCTTTTACTATTACGAGAAATAATGCCTAATTTTTTTTCCTTTTTTATTATTTATGCCGACATGTTTTTCTTCTTATTATTTTTTATTTTTTATTTTTATATTTCAAAATAGTTTTTTTCTAAAAAAATTATTTCTTCCATGTGACTAATGTAAACTTGACAATTATCATGACATTATTCTGCAATTGTTTAACCCATGCTTTTACAAACAAAATATAATTTTTTATTAATTAAACAAAAGACTGTTTTCAAAATCGTATTTTTTTATCTCCTTGACAGCAATAATACATACTCACAAAGTAGATTTTCGAATAGGTTTAATGAGTATTTAAGTCAATTTCTTTTTCATTTCCATTTCCGTTAAGGTAAGTTTGCTAAGTCATTCCCCTTGGATAGTTGATATTTTTTGACAATAAAATTTGAAAAGGGGGGTTTAGTGCAAAATGCAAATAGAAAATGGGAGTTTAATGTTGTTCACCCTTTTTAAAATACTAAAAGAATTTATTGGGCGGCAAATATAAACTAGCAATAACGAGGCCAAAATCAAGGAAATGCTTTAAAATAAACTAATGCAAATCCGAATAAAATTAAATTTGACATAGTTAACCAAGTTAATTGTAGAATGAAAAATATTAAGATTTAAATCAATAGAGAAAAATATTAAGTTATCATATCCGACAACCATTAAATTCATAAATTTTTAATCATTCATCTATCAACTCCTTAATTAAGACTAGCAATTCGGTAATCACTCGGTTACTTTCACAAAGACGTGATCATTAAAATACTCATGTAAAAAAAATTAAAAGTAAATTTTTCTTTGCTTAAAAAGTGTAAAATTGTAGGCATCCTATGCATTCAACTTAATAAAAAACATGATCAAATATTTTTTTACTTTTTTTCAACTATTTAGGATAAGTTAAATGAATAAAACCCTCAATATTATCATTGTCAAAACCCTAACTTGTTTGTAGAAACCCTAACCGTATTGCAAATTTATAATTTTGCCCCAATTCTGTTAGTTTGGGACGTTAACCTAGCGTGTGGTCTTCATTTGCATTGACAATCAAATTTTAGTGACAAAACTACCACTGCAAGAACATATGCTAGCCATGTGGTATCAATTTTTATTTTTATTTGTTTTGTGTAAGAGAATAATGTTATAATTTGTAAAATATGAATTTTTGTTTTTTTTAAATAAAGTGGTATATCATAAGGGTAATTTAGTTATTTAACAAATCTTAATGGTTCATTCACATAATTGGGGTAACGTGATAAACTGTTAGAGTTTTTATAAATAAGTTGAAATTTTATGATAAAAAAATGATAGGATTGATGGTTTTATGATTTAAGTCCATATATATTAAAATAATTGTAAAGTATTTTTTACCATTTGTTTTTGTTCCTAAAGAGTATGTGATATCGCACATAATTTTTATTTTTTAATAATAGAAATGACACGCAATAATCTCCCAAAAGTGGACTGCAATAGTAATTTTTAGGACAACTGTAAAATGTGAAATTGTTCCATTTTTATCTTTTACTTAAAAAGAGAAAAGTAAAGGAAAACATTACGAGGGTCTTTATTTATTTTATCTTGGTAAAGTAGGAGGGGGGTAACTCGGAGCCCCATTGGCCATTACAAAAGTATTTTCATAAAGTGCAAATATCACTTTCCTATTAAAATTTATCCATCGCAGTGTTCGGAGAAATTATTTATCACAATTGTTACAAAATGTGGTACAACGAATGGTTACAAAGACTCCATTAAAGTAAAGTAGACCTACAATAGAATTTAAAAGTCTATATGTGTGTTTTAGTGGAGTATTTGTAATTGCATCATGTCATTGTTGCAACGGTTGCAATGAATAATTTCTTCTTAGATAGGAAGAAAGAAAGGTGTGTTGAGAAAATAGGAAGGAATAAATGAATTTCTTTTAATTGGTAGAGATAATACAAAAAAATAAAAGAAAAGAGGAAAAATGACTCCTTTACAAGTTTTCATCCCCCAAATAGGGGAAGATGATTATTATAAAAGTTTTAAATTAAATACTATCATAAATTATATAAGATTTAAATTACAGTAATATCTTCTATAAATTATAATATTATAAATATTAGTAAATGTAATGGTAAAATTAATTAAAATTTTCTCTTTACTTTTTTGAACATAGTAAATTATGAATTTTCTCTCTCTTCTATTCAATTTTTTTCTTCTTTTACCGAACATAGCGTAAATGTCACTTAGATCATATTACAAGCATATATGTATTAGTCCCTTTTCAATTAGTTCCACTTATTGGATATGATTGCTAGAGGAAAAAACCCTTATAAATATTTGTAGGATGAAAAAAAAGAAAAGAAAAAAGTAATTGTAGCTTAGTCTTTGACCTTGTATTATATGCAAGCATTCTGTCTCTCTCACATGCTTTATAAGAGTGGACTGTAGTTTAAGAGAGAGAGAAAGTGGCATTGTTCTCCAAGTGGTCAATTCAATGGGGTACAAAATGTAAAAAGTTTTACCTCTGCAATCATTCCAATATAGGGATCCAACGTTCGGAAATGGGGCTTGGACTTTGGATCTTATTCATTTCAAACATCCAACGTACACTTCCTTTTTTGCCTTTACACCATGACCAATCTTACCATCCCCAAACATAGCACCTGACTTGTTTCCTATTTATGTTTTTTTTTTTAAATGATACATAAATTTTATTTTTTTTTTCTTTTAAAGAATAATAAATTTTAATAACTTTTATAATTTTACTTTTTGGTAAATATTGGCATTTATATCATTTACTTTAAGAAAAAAAATAAAATGTGGAGTGCATTTATGTCCTTCCTAACTTTTTTATTTTTTAATTTATTTTTTATTTTTTGAGTTTGAGAGTAGGACCTTTTTTTGAAAATCGAGCCTCTCCCTCACTGATTTTATTTCTCTGCTAAGCACTTGATTTTATTATTTAATATCTAAAAAATATTAGTATATTATCATTAAAAGGGTAGAAAAAATTTACCCGTATCAAGATATTAAGAAAAATATCGTCTAGCACACATTCGGAGAAGGCCCACTGATTACATGTACTAGAATCAATCTGTCATGTCGTGGTGCTTGCTTCAAAAATTTTGTTATCCACAAACACTGTATAATGACTGAAGGAAAAGTTTTGTTTATTTACATTTTTTTTTTTTTTGGGTCCAACTAGGTTGCATTTTTGGGGAATCATCGTTATGTATATAATAACTATATATATTATATTATATATTTGCATTTTGTCCCATGTAGTGCCAAATTTGGTCAGTCCATTTCTTTTTTTTTTTTTTAATTAATAGATTTTGTCTATTTTCTCTAATATCAGTTATTCTCTGCCAAATAATAATAACAAATGACACTGACGGACTATTTCAAACTTATTTAATATTTGTTTCTCTTCCCTCATCACCTAAAAAAAGAAAAAAACACTGCCAATCCTTCATGTCCAAGTTCAAATTTGTTGTCTGGACGCAAAAATATATCTTAAATTTTGAATAATGCACATCCAACTTTATCCAGCAAGTATCATTATAGAGAAAAACATGTTATGATTTCAACCATTCTATAGGCCCATTATTTGATTAAATGATTGCATCCAATAAGAGCCTGATTAATTTTGAAAAATAAAAATACTAGCGCGATTAATTGTTGTTTAGAAGTTTTAAACTTGTATTTACTGATATTTTATCTGTCTTTTAAACGTCAAAGATTTGAGTTCCTAAAAGGACGTGTGAGTGTGCAATTTTGACTAATGTATACTTTTTAATATATATATACCCTCACATATATAATTATGCATTAATACGGAAATGGGTCATTCTTTTGAAAATTGCTAGAATTGTTGTGCGGCTTTATTTAGAAATTTGAATCCTTTGTTGTGTTGAAATGTGTGATTGAATTCGTGCACTAGGGAATTACATAAATACATTAAAAGGCTTATGTAATGTGCGTTTGAAATTTATATTGTGAAATACTTACTTACAACTCCACTGAACTTGATCACTCTTTTTATTATTATTATTATTATTTTTTATTTAAGTTAAATTTGACTTCATCGCTGTTGATAAAATGATATCATAACAATTATCTGATGAATATTCAGACCTCATCTTATGAATATATTACAAACTCATTTATACGCCCCATCATAAAAACCTTATAAAGCACATCAATTTGGGGAGATCTTGCCGCCCAGTCCAACGTTCGACGGGTCCCACAGTAGAACACACTTGTCACAAGATGGTTTGCTTTCATCACTAGCCACGTGGAAGGACTACCACAAGTCAAAACAGAGTCTTTACTCACTTCCATTAACCCACCGTTGCACCGCCGTTATAACGCCGTTCCAACATCCGGAAAATCCTCCGTCAGTCACTCCACAAGCGGGCCAAGGCGTTGCGACTCCGTTAATCCCCCGTGACCGACGTTAGATCTTTATTTTTTTGTCCAACAAAGCAGGACAAGTGAACGTTTCTTTTTTTTTTTTCTCAGGGTCTTTTTATTTTCTCTCTCCTCCCAGAACATCACTCTGCCTCTCTCTGCTCTCTCTCTCCTACATTAAATGAGTCCCTTGCATTTTTGAATCCTCATTCACAACACACGAGAAGCTTGTTTCACCTTCAAGTTTCTACTTTAGATCAGATCTAAACTTACTCTGCAACTCATTTCTTTATTATTTTTGGTTCGCCGGAACTAAGACTCCTCGCACCACCAAAGGTAAGTGTAATGTAACTAGCTCTTATATATATATATATATATATATATATACTCTGTTTCATATACTTAGCTTGATTATAAATGTCTATGACTGTTGTTCGATAAATATGAAAATGTACATTCAGTTGATGAGGAATCGTCTTTGATTCAATTGTTATGTTCTCAATAATTCTCAAAGTAAGAAACAGTTTTCAGAAAATTGTAAATAATTGTTCTTTGAAATTGATCAGTTTTTTTTTGCATACTTTGTTTTCTGAAAAAGGTCAATTAAGCAAAATTTCGAATTATTTTTTGATTTTCAATTCTCTGAGAGAGAACAATTTGCCTATTGTTATAAAAAGACTGAATCGACACTGAATTTAAATGTCTATGATGAGTATATTAATCAAGTTATTGTCATTAGTCTAGAATGTAGAGATATTGACTTCGTCAATTTACAGAGAATTCTTGTTTGTGTCGAAAGAAAGTGGTCTAGAGAGAGAAAGACGGCGGGACTGGGGACGATGCCGCAAGAAAGCAACTGTAACCAAAGGTTCACCTCTCCTTGCAAGAACTTGAGAGGATTGAAGAGTTTGATCTCCAATAATAGTGACGCTGAAGAGATTATCAACGATCATGAATTGGCTCACAGAAAAGCCGAAGAAGCAGGTACATCTATGCAAAAACTATTCCAAACACTCTCTTCCTACAACAAATTGTAGCATATACAATTACAAAGTATGTTATTTTTACCCTTTTACTCTCCACAGCAATTATAATATTTAATCAAAAAAAATAATTGCTTTGTTTTGTCATCGAGGTCACAGGATAGAAATAAAAACACCTCCCACTAATTTGATTCTCTTCCGCAATGACACGAGTTTGTGAAGTGGATAATTTTTATTTTTTTTTATTTTTTTATTTTAAAAAAAATAGTTTGAATTTTTTTATTTTTCTGCAATGACAGGAGTTTAGTAAGGTGTGCTAATTTTTTTTTTAAATAGTATTTTGAAAATTTATTTTATAAGAATAAAATTATTTTGAATTTTTTTTTTGTAAAAGGAATATACTATAAAGTGTAATGTAATATTTGTATATTGGGAGAGATTAGTAGTAGGTTGAAGTTGGTAGTCTTCCACTAAAGGGTTTAGTTGTGTGGTTGCATCCAGAATCTTAGTTCAAAAGAGGAAATAAAATAAGATCGTGCGGACACATCATGATGATGAACAGTTGTGGTGGGTCGAGACATAAGAAATGGTACCCGATTACTTATGCTGATATGGACCACCTTGGCATGGTGGGTCCAATCCGGCCCCATTTTTTTAAACACGCCCAAGAACATCTCGATGAGTGCTTAAGAGTTGGAGGTCCACTTTGATCAACAGATTATTGCAAATTATGACCTCTGTCACTTGTTTAATCAGTGACACGGCAAATATTGAAGCGGGTGACAATTAATCTATATATATATATATATTTTCATTACAATAAATTTATTAGGTGGCATAAATATATGACATTCGTAGGACATTCTAATAGGTAACCAATTTAGTAATGTAATAAAGATCAATAAGTTTGTGGGCCATTTAACGAGGGATTAGGGCCTATATTTGTAGAGAAATGGCCCTCCCCAACTTCTACAAAACTAGCAAATTTTGGAATATAAAGTTTCCCATCATTTATAAATTGGTCCAGTCTTACGTTGGCACTGTCTAATTTCACACGACATACAAATTAGGTAGATGCCTGTCAATGGGTCTGTGTGAAACAGTGACCTAAGTACATCGTCCAACAGCTGAAGGGTTATTACTTATTACCAACCAATCCCGCCCAAAAAATAAAATGAGGCATAGAAGACACTACCAGGGCTGCAATATGTATATAGAATAAGAAATCTATAATAGAGTAAAGTAAATTGATATGTATCCACAAATTATACACAGTAGACCGGACAACGTTTATATCTTGATCTCTTTTGATATTAGGTGTTTTTTTTTTTTTTTTTGTAATATAATATATTATTATAATATAAAAACATTACTGATTTTTTACACTAGTTACTTTTCGGCCACCAATAAATGTGGTTAGAAAAGATAAAAATAATAAAATATTAGACGGAATGAATAGTCTATCAAATGTAATTTATCCAAACTTAAAGGAAATACAGTTTAATTTACCCTATAAAATACAGTAATAACAAAATCCATTGATTTGATATCACGTGATTTCAGTTGTCATACGTAGATTTCTTATACAAATTATCGGGGGGAAATTGAGGGATTTCAAAGGGCTAAACATGAACTAGTATGAAGTTGGTGGTGGTGTGTGTATTTGTTCAGCTTCAAGGAGGTACCAAGCAGCGGAATGGCTACGTCAGATGGACAATGGTGCGTCGGAGGTTCTGCCCAAAGAACCCTCCGAAGAGGAATTCTGTCTCGCACTCCGCAACGGCCTCATTCTCTGCAACGTCCTCAACAAAGTCAATCCACGAGCTGTTCACAAGGTATTTCCTTAGCTCTTCATTATCTCTCTTTAATCATCTGTTGTGAATTGTGATATATACACGCACATATATATATATATATATATATATATATATTTACATACATGACATGGCTATAAATAGGTGGTAGAAAATCCAATCATCGATGTTACAGAGGGTGCTGCTCAGTCTGCAATTCAGTATTTCGAGAACATGAGGAATTTTCTGGTTGCTGTCGGCAAGATGGAGCTCTTAACATTCGAGGCCTCCGATTTGGAAAAGGTTTTGTTTTTTTATTTTTATTTTTATTTATTTTTTATTGCTGTTGTTTATCATTTCTATTTGAGAAAATAGATAATTAGTGGAGTATTCAAAGTGCATGTTAATGCATCCAAATCCGTGTGAACGACAAAGCAGATATGGTCCGAGTATTGTTCAATGAGTTGTGTTGCTCTGTCAACTTGCCCCTTATTGATGAATGCTACATTTCTGTTGTTTTTGTTAAATATGACTGCTCTTAGTCATACTTTGCTTTTAAAAAAAAATGCTATCTTCTCGGGTTTCCAAAAATCTATTTTGTGAATAATGCCATTGGTGAAAATGGCAAATCATAAATCTGATTTGATACTTCCAGTCCTGGTGATTGATCCCATATTCTTTGATAGCGCAATTTCAAATGATGATTTGTGTGTCATAAAATTTCATAAAGAATGCAATTTGAGCCATTCAGTTTTTGTGTTCAAGCAAACGCTCTCTAAGGGCGGGAGACATCTTTTCAGAACCTATATTTGTTTTTCTTCATGCATGTGCTAGTGAGTACGTATATTTACTATGGCATACTCTTCTCCTTTTCTTTATTCCCCGGTTAATGTCCTCACTTTCATAAAGTTTTGAAGAAAAAATGAAATCACAGTTACTAAAAGATAGTAAAAATTAGCTTCAGTCATTATGTATTGAACCGAGGCAAAAGCTTCAGTAACGGTCGGACGATAGTAAAAAGTCATAGCAAACCCCGTAGCTACTTGTACTAAAAAACAAGTAAGCGTAATTCCTCCTAAACAATAAAATATGTTGACATGGGGAGGAACGTATTTACTAGTTATATCATCTGCAATCGCCTGAATCTCGAGGCGCTCTTCGAACCAATCATAGACTTTATTGAGATAGGTGGGATTCCCCCTCCGAGAACCGTATATGAGAATTTCGCCTCGTACAGCTCAAGCAGAAACACCAAAATAATAGTTGCACCGCATATGTAATAGAAAGTTTGAAATTTCTTAATCTCTGATTTCATCTTTTCTGATGATTTGTGTGTCATAAAATTTCATAAAGAATGCAATTTGAGCCATTCAGTTTTTGTGTTCAAGCAAACGCTCTCTAAGGGCGGGAGACATCTTTTCAGAACCTATATTTGTTTTTCTTCATGCATGTGCTAGTGAGTACGTATATTTACTATGGCATACTCTTCTCCTTTTCTTTATTCCCCGGTTAATGTCCTCACTTTCATAAAGTTTTGAAGAAAAAATGAAATCACAGTTACTAAAAGATAGGGATGAATTCTTGTATCACCCGCCAAAAGACTTTATAGTGGCAAACCAATTTGGTAAATATAATATTAATTTCAACTTTAAGTCATATCTTTTTAATTTTAAATTTTAGTGAAATATCTTTTATATTTTAAAACACTTAGTTAGTTCTATGTGACACTAGTGAGTACCCTATGTTTACTTTCATATAATTTTTTTCCCCTTTTCTTTGACAATGACACTTTCTTCTCTCATAATCTTCCGAAGAAACGAAATCCTACTCACCAAGAGAGGGATGAATCCCTGGGTCACTCAACAAAAGCCTTTCAATGGTAGTAAACAGAATTGGTAAAACTTTATATTAAGTTTAACTTTCAGTGGCATATCTTTTTTTTTTTTTTGTTTTTATTTTTTATTTCATGTTCAGCAAATCAAATCTTATATGAAAGTGAGATTTCAATTTGATATTGGGTGGAAAGCCAAATTATTACCCTAATAGAAGGGATTAAAATTAAGATGAAGGAACTGAATTCTTAGGGTATAGAGAATAATTGTTGTCAAATGCAGTAGGGATAATTAACAATATAAATTGGAGACCTTTTATAAAGAGAAAAAATAATATTAGTGAAGGAACAATTGATGAATGTGTGAATGAAATGATGCTTCTCAGGAAAACAAAAGGATAGCCACTTGTGAACAACTGCACTATTACATATTGAGATATGCTTAATCATAAAACTCTCTCGTTCGAGAGCTTCCTATATTGTCCAGTGGAGATTCGTTTCCATTAACATAAATAATCTCCTTATTCCTATGTGCTTCTATGCAATCTTTGACAAGTGTATGATGCTATTTCTTAAAAGAAACTTGGATTTACAGGGTGGTTCATCAAGTAAAGTTGTGGACTGCATTCTTTGTTTGAAAGGATACCACGAGTGGAAGCAAGCAGGTGGAATTGGAGTTTGGAAGTATGGTGGAACTGTAAGGATCACATCATTCCCAAAGGGGTCACCATCCTCCTTGGTTGGCAGTGAAAGTGCTGATGACTCACTGGATGATTCTGAATCATCACAATATGAACAGCTATTTGAATTTCTCCATCTTTCTAGTGAGGTCTCCATTGAGGAATACAAATCAGCCAATGTGTTGACCTTCCTTTTTGATCGCTTTGGGCTTGAACTTCTTGAGGCTTATCTTACAGAAAGGAATGGAATTGAAAACTTGCCTTTGAATGGAATGGTAGGTAAGATCCATTCTGCTTTCTGTCAATGGTTTGCTATCAATTGATTTTGCACACGTGTTTTTGATTTGTATGAGGTTTGGATGGAACATTTAGAAAAACATAAAATGAAGAAAATGGAGGAAAATCAAAATTTATAGCAACTGCATGAACCAAGGAGCTCTTGAACGTTTGTTCGCTTTATCATGCAAACTGATGAAATCTATTATTTGTACACATTCAAGGGGGTTCATATATGAAATTGACTCAAGATACCTGACATGGGATTTCATAACAAACTGAAACAAAAGTATATAACTGGCCCTCTCTATACATAATGGACATGCATAGATTATTAGATATGTTTTGTTATGTGGTCAAGATAATGCCAACCCAATTTAGGTGCACTTGCATTTGGTAAATAAACTGTTAGATTAATCTTTTGAATTCCTGTTACTATATAGAGCTGTCGATATATAATTTATGAATCTTAACTTTAACTTTAACTTGAAATGCCGACAACCTTGTGTTGTATTCCCTTGAAATAGACTACATGGTTTTGGTAGAATCTGATAGTATTTCATCGGCGAAATTCACAGGTCATTGATACTGTGCTCAGGAAGGCAGCTAAGGATATCTCTGAGCTGCTTGCCACTCATGGTCATCAGGTGGGAACAACTTTGGAATGTCCCTATATTTTTGCTACTAATTTTTGTGCAAAATTACTTCCATGGAATCAATTTTTTTACTATTGCAGTCTTTCAGTAAACCCCAAGCATTAGATGACCTAGTTTCTTTACCTCCTACAGCTTGGACTGCTTCTCAAGAAAATACTGAAAGCAGATGGTATTCCCCTATCAAAATCTGAATTCATAAAGATCATTTCGCGATATCTTGCTCAAAGGACTAGTTCGGTATCAAGTGATATCTCCAAATTTTGCACCTGTGGTGGGAAACGTGAGAACATCTGGCCTGGGATTGGTCACTCTTCTGGAAATGCAGAACTACTTGATTTTCAACAGAAACGGCTTGAGGTATGAATATCACCTTATTGAAAATCATCACTCCTTTACTTTGATTTTGAATTTTTAATTTACATCATTAGCTCCTTTATTCTAAAATTATTTTACTATCTTGTCTACAACCTTCCTTTGATTTACATGATCAATCCTAAGCAGGCAATCTGGGTACTAGCAGTAAATTTGGATCACTTAACCTTCTTATGAGAAAGGATTAATCTGATTCAAAAATGAGTTTTTTAAATGGTTGGTTCCACGGCGATGCTTATTTCCCTTATAGGTTTGGAAAATTGAGATGAAGAAGAAACAAAAAGAAGTTGGAAATAGAACCAAAGTGAAGTGAAAACTAATTCAGTTTCCTGAATATCTTCTACGTGAATGGGGAAAAATAATATGTGGCAATAAGCAGCACCATTATTGTAGAAATAAGAACAACCATCTCTCAACTACTGGAGATGACAGAAAAATCCTTCTTGACAGTGTCAGTACCTCTATGTGAGTTTGGAGTCCCTTGCACGGTGGACGTGACTCCAATAATATGCTGCTAGATAAACTATCAGAAAGGTTTCTTTGTCACTGTCTAACTCACATACAGCCTGATTTCTCTATATATGGCAAAGGCTAATTTCTTCTATTGTTGGTTCTTTAATGTATATGTTGGATATTTTGTTTACTCTCTTACTTAGGGAGTCATGTTTCATCCTTCGTGGCTTTTCATGCCCCCCACAATTTAAATCTGGTAAAAGTTACTTATTACAATACCTTTTTGTGTTCATCTCTGTTGGTTATTCTCAGGAGCTAAAATCATTTTTTCAAGATACAAAAACAGAAGTCCAGCAGATTCATTTAGGCTGGGAAGAAGAGCTTGAGAGGCTTGGTGAGAATTTAGAGATTTGCTTGCATTGAGATCATATCTGGTTAAACAGAAAGTATTGGTTTTTATTATGTTTATTAAAAGCTTCAGGCAAACTAACTCTCTTCATTTCCTCAGAGCACCATGTCAAGGGCCTTGAAGTGGCCGCTTCTTCCTACCACAAGGTTTTGGAGGAAAACCGCTTACTTTACAATCTAGTACAAGACCTGAAAGGTGATTTCTTCTTTCAATTCAAAACTTTACGCCTTGTCAATGTTGTGGAGACAAAGCTTACTTGATGGTGTTTGCTGTCCAACAGGAACCATTAGGGTATACTGTAGAGTGAGGCCTTTTCTACCAGGGCAATCTGATGGACAGTCAACAGTAGACTATATTGGAGAAAATGGAAATATCATGATTGTCAATCCTCATAAGCAGGGTAAAGATGCAAGAAAGATGTTCACTTTCAACAAAGTATTTGGAACGCAAGTGACGCAACGTACGTTCTTTTGTCTAAAATTAGTGCCTCTTTTCAAGTTCAAATTACTTTGTGTTGTAAATTTCTGTAATTATGGGATTGCAGTAGTTTAAGTTATCATGCCCAATGGTTTTAAACGAAGACTTGAAAATGAAAAATTACCTTCTCATGATGTAACAACAATAATAAAATGATGAAGAGGGTGGGGGAACAGAAAAAAAGGCTTTTCCTATAAAGAAAACAAACAGAAAAGAAAAACAAAATTGTAACATGGATACATTTTCTAAAGGAAGCTGTGTTCAACACGGCAAAAACTGTGGAGTCCAACATGCTGTGTCATTTGTCCAGATTCACCATGGATATTTCTAGAATTTTAAAATCTTCACTCAAACTCAACAAAACCATGTCCCAACTATTTGGGATTAAAAATCTTATAGATCACTATAATTTCAGATATGTGGTTGTCAAGCAGCTGGCAATGGTTTAGAGGAGAAGGAGAATAGTAAGTCTCTGCTCTTTTCTGAGAACTGTCATATCGGCATATGCACTCCAATACATGCTGTTTCATGTGTTAAACACAGCATGGACATCCCTAGAATTTTAAAATCCTCAGTTCAGCTCAACAAAGCCTTGTCCTAACTACTTGGGATTAAGAATCTTATAGATCACTATTGTTTCAGATATGTGGCTTTCAAGCACAGCTGGCCGTAATTTAGAGGAGAAAAGGAAGTCTATGTGCTACATTTTGTGAATTGCCCCATTGCCATGTTCAATATGTGTTGGATAGCAGTGTGCTTGTGGTGTGGGATAGCAGTGTGTTTGTGGAACATAATGCAATATAATGTTAGAAAAGGCATTTGGCATAAAATCCGCTCTCTTGTGTGCTTCATACTCTAGGTTTTATATGCTGTATGTTTGTAAGTTTTCCAGAAATTGCTCATGATTACTTTTCCTTCTTATGCACAGAGCAAATATATGTAGATACTCAACCGTTGATCAGATCTGTTCTAGATGGTTATAATGTTTGCATTTTTGCATATGGACAAACTGGCTCAGGGAAGACTTACACAATGGTAATATCCTATGAAATTCATTTCTAATTTCATAGAATTAGGTCCACTTACATAACAAAACCTTGTAAGGGAATACATTGTACTGAGAGTCATTCGTGTTTCTTAAACTCTTTTTCACACTATACATTTGGTTAAGACGCATGTTGTTCAGTTCATGTAGACTTTAGTGACTTCACACTGCTCCAATTCAGCCCAACAACTTAGTTGCATACTATATATCAGTATTATCCAAGTCTCCTATCTAATTTGATGCCCTTTTTTTTTTTTTCTACCTCTGTGGATATCATTTTGAAGTTTCCTATTTAACCAGTTAGTGAGGTTTTTGATAAAACAATGCCTGTTGTTATGAAAGTTTTCAAGACTCAATCCCTCAATTTTCTCCTATCAGACATGGCCAAATATATCCATTAATTAAAAAGAAAAACACTCATTCTATTATATTCAATATTCAAATATTTCCTCACTCTCAAGAACGGAGTAACCGTCTCATTTTTATGTAGGCTACTAATTATTGGTTGCCTTTCACTTGTATAGAGTGGCCCTGACTTGACAACAGAGGAGACCTGGGGTGTCAATTATCGAGCTTTGCGTGACCTGTTCCAAATTTCAAAGGCGAGGGTGGACATTATAGAATATGAAGTAGGAGTCCAAATGATTGAAATATACAATGAACAAGTGAGAGATCTATTGGTCATTGATGGCACTAATAGAAGATATCCTTTCAAGTTTTACTTCTTATAATTCTTTTGATTAACTTACTGAGCTTCCATATGCATCTCCTATTCTATCTAATCTTGACCCTTCAGCTTCAAAGAATTAGGTATTGTTTGATAAAATTGAAAATTAAGTGCTAGTTATAAATTGAGAATCAGTTTAGAAGTGATAAGTGAAGTTTCCTTTGGTTAAAGTTTTAAGTGGTTTTTAAATTGTGTTATCAAACATACTTGATTAAATAAACACTATTATACCTTAACTTCCTGTACGTTAGATATAAGGAACAATTCTCAATTGAATGGCCTCAATGTGCCTGACGCAAGTTTAATTCCAGTTAAATGTACTCGAGATGTTCTTGATTTGATGAAAATTGGTCAAAGAAATCGTGCTGTGGGTGCTACTGCTTTAAACGAACGGAGTAGCCGTTCTCACAGGTAGACCTTCTCTCTTTTTTCTTTTTGTTCCTTTGGAATATCCCTTTTTTGTAGTTCCTTTGGTAGATCATAATCTTTTCATAACTGTTAATGTAAGTATTCTTAATAATTGTTTGCAAGCATGGCCTTTTTTTCAGCATTCTAACTGTTCATGTCCGAGGAAAAGAGTTAGTTAATGGCTCCATTCTAAAGGGTTGCCTTCATCTCGTGGATCTGGCTGGAAGTGAGAGAGTGGATAAATCTGAGGCTGTTGGTGAAAGACTGAAGGAAGCCCAACACATAAACAGATCGCTCTCTGCACTTGGAGATGTCATCTCTGCTCTTGCTCAAAAGAGTACACATATTCCTTACAGAAATAGCAAGCTTACTCAAGTATTGCAAGATTCTTTAGGTAATGTAATATGTCAAGCCTATCTTTTAGAGGATTTTTTTCCGAATTATTGAATGTAACAAGCAGAAAGAGCTCTCCCTGGGAATATCTATAGATAATACTACACATGAATAAGACAGTGAAGTGGAGACCATTCCATGATTAAATGGAAAGAAGAAAAAAAAATGAAAAATGTGTTTCATTAGGATTATCATAAAATCCTAAATCTGAACAATGTTAGGAATGACACTTCTGGTATTTTGGTGAAAACAATCTGAAATTTCAATTGCTTAGCAGTTGTTCAAATTCACTTTTGTTTGCCAAAAGAAAAATCTCATGTGATACCCATCTCATGATGGTTTGCTGGCTCTTTCCCATTGTCTTTTGTTTAATGTATTGTTCTTATCATTTGCATCAACTTTGTAGGCGGTCATGCCAAAACATTGATGTTTGTACATATAAATCCCGAGGTTAATGCCATTGGAGAGACAATTAGCACCCTCAAGTTTGCAGAGAGGGTTGCCTCGATAGAACTAGGAGCGGCTCGATCTAATAAAGAAAGTGGTGACATACGAGAACTTAAAGAAGAGGTTTATTCTTTATCAATATCTTGTTCAGATGTACTTTGGGTTCATCATAACAGGAACTAATTGTTCTAGTTACTTTGACACAGATCTCCAATCTCAAGCTGTCGTTGGAGAGAAAGGAAGCTGAACTGGAACAATTGAGAAGTTGTCGAGGTATCATAGAACTGCAAAGACCCCAAACAGTTTCACCTTTGCAAATGTCAAGATCCGGTATTATTGCCAGCTTGAAGCCTGAAACCTCTCAGCGACCCATTGCAGATGATACTAGAAGCTCTGAGGTAAGGTCGATAAGTAATTTACTTAAAGAGGTGAAAAACTATGTCATAATGAAATCATTCTTCATCTTCCATATTGTTTTGATTTACAATTTTGTAGTCTGGAACAGATGCCACATCCTTGAGAAAAATTATGACACAATCCGAATTTAAATTTATTTATTGGGAACTTCTAATACATGCTGTTAATTGTCTTTCTGTTGGATTAAATTGATTATTACATTTCCATGTGGTTCAGCTACAAAAGGCATATAAAATTATGGACTCCTCATCTTTGTGGTCATTTTTCAGGTCAGAAGCTGTTCTTCAGGTAAGCAGAGGAGGTCTCGTTTTCCCTCTAAGTTTATAGACAAGGATATAATGCCAAAGATGCCCTTCCTAGCTGAAGTGACACTAGGGAGCTCAGGCAAGCCAAGGTCACCATCCCCTCCTGTTAGGAGATCAATATCAACGGATAGAGGGGCTCTCATCAGAAGTAGGATCAAGCCTGACATTAATGACAGCCACCCTATCTCGAAGCTGCAGTTCCCAGCTAGATTTTCTGCCAATAAATCTGTTACCACATTACCAGTAATCCCACCAATAGAAAACAACACGAGACCATTTTTTGGTTCCCAAGAGCTGCACAAGCAGGATAACATCTCCGATGTATTCTACAACCTTCAGAGAGTGAACTCCAGGAAAAATCACACAGAACATGAAGATGAGCAGTTTAAACAAGTGCTTAATGTAAGGCATGGGGGCGTCAGGAAAAGCAAACCTGAGAGTAAGGCCAAGGCCAAGCATCAACTGCCAGTTAAAATTCAAAAATCTGATGTTGCAGTGACATTGCTTCCTGAGATAGACACTGGTGCAAAGATGGAAGAGTCTCGAAAGAGTGACTTCTCTGAGCCTGAAAATGAGCATGGACTCGGCAGGTCACCAGTGCCTAGTACCTTGAGGGTGCAAAAGCTTCAACGGAACTTATCAAGGAACTCTCAAAATGTGGAACCAAGGTATGACCAAAAAAAAATATAGATATCTTGAGGAATAAAATTATAATCAATAATACTGATTGAAGTTTTCTAAAATTAGTTGTGCAGTTGTTGGTAGCGGCTGCAATTGATATCATCTTTCTTCTCTTGTGTTAATGGAGTAACCTTCCTTTCTGTGCAGAGAACTAGTGCAAACTGTGGAATCTGTATTAGCTGGTAAAAATGAAAATAAAGGTTCAAACGGAGTAATACGCCATGCAAAGGAAGTTAGTAACCCATCTATGCCTGATTTGAGAAGAAGCCGGTCTCTGTCCCGTGGGAAGTTTACAAATTTTCCTTGAGTAATTCACACCATACATCGATAATTTCAGTTATTAATTATTGAGTTTTTGTACAGCGACTCTTCAAAATGGAGTTCCGAGTTGCATGCTTTCGCTTTTATGGATTTGAAATTTCTATATATTTTTTATTCATGTTTATAGACTAGGCCAAACTAGTAGTAATATAGTGCTTCAGTGTTTTTTTTATGTTTATAGACTTGATTATGGTGCTGAAGCAGTGTGTTGCTTCATTATATATATGTACGGAATGTCATTATATATGTCTTTATTTTCGTAATTAATTCTTATTCTCTTCTTTTGTTTTTTCTCTAAACGTCCTTAATTTAAACCCTTGTTGGATGACTTAAGCCTTAAGGTAATTAGGAAGCACCCTTGTTGGATGGTTTTGTTTACTGTAATTTTGTCTATTGAGTGATCTCCCTAGTGAAACAATTGTTCTTGAAATTGTTTTTATTTCTACCCATTATTTGTCTCTCATGGCATAATAAAGAATCATCAACATGCTAGGCACTTCAAGGCCTCAAACATAATGAGTCCTGAAGCCCTCATTTTTTAATATGTTTTTAGGTGGACTGCATTAAACTCTTTTTTCTATTTGCATTTTACATTAAATTTCCTTTTTTCCAAAAAGAACTTCCTAGAGGTGACTTAAATATTAGCTGAAAGGAAATTATTTGGATATTGAGTTTCTTCACGAAAATGCTCATGTTTAATATTTGCCCAACATATAAATATCTACCTCGTCCACCATTTCTAGCAACATATACTCTTCTTCTTCAACTTTTTTTGTTTACCCATAATATATATTATAAATATCATTATAATATTATATATAATATATACCATTAAATAATATTTTCACTATATTTGCATTATCAGCAATCCAATTAACCTTTACACCCACATGAACTTGGGTCTTTCTTTGAAATTTATTTATTTATTATTATTTTTTTGAGAATTATATTGTGCATTTATTTTTTTAATTTTTACTAATTTTCGTTTTATATATTTGTTAAATGGAGTCATATTCTACCACTATGGAAAATAATGTCTAAATGTTTTTCCTTTTTCTTTTTTCCCCTCAAAATAGCTTTTTCTATAAGAAATCTATACCTTCCATTTTTTTTTTTTTTAAATTTTTAGAAGTTAAACAATTCACTCAAGCATCTACCATTGAGCCTCCAACCCTAACCTCCCTTTAAGAACTTGATGAGCATTGTGACATTATTTTGGAACTATTTTACCCTTATGCTCTTACAGACAAAACATAAAAAAAAAAAAAGAATTATTAAATAAAAGTCTACTTTCAATTTTTTTTTTTCTTTTTCTTTTTGTTGTCTCCTCAACAGTCTATTGAAATATTAAAATATTGAAAAATAATAATAGAAGTATTAATTTCTACCAACAAAGTTTTTAAAGTTGTTTAATATAATAAATAAATAAATAAATAAATTTCAAGATGCAAGTAAATTAATGATATTTTATTCCATTTTTATTTCAGTTTCAACTCTATTAAGTCACTCCCAACACGGAGTTAAGAGAGAAAATAGAGTTTAATACAACTAATTCTATTTAACAACCACTCTTCCTTCTTCTAGTACCGAGGTACACCAATTTTGATGCACACCTGCACATATATCACTTATTCTCAAATAATAAAAAATGAAATATTGAAATATTTGTTTTAGTATTCTCCAAAATCTCAAATTTAGTTTTTTCTACCCCTGTTGTTGGATTCATTTTTGGTATGAAAGTTGGCTTCAATAATCTTTTTAAGATTCTAATTCATGAGATATGTGTTGAATGAAATGGTACATTTTGCATGAATTCTCACAAAGATAACACCAACGATGATGTTTTAAGCATGAATGGCAAATTATTATGATTGTTAAGAATTAAATTTGATGTGTATGAGCCTTTTGATTTAACCTAATTTCTATTTTAATATAAGTGTAATTGTAAATATCATTTGACAGTTTCTTCAATTAAAGGAAAAAAAGAAGAAGTGAAGTATTATAACCTAATTTATTTTTTTAGTTTTTATTAATTTTCTTTTTATATATATTTGTTAAATGGAGTCATCTTCTACCACTATGGACAATAATGTCTAAATGTTTTTCTTCTTTTTTTTTTTTTTTTTTTTTTTTTTTTTTTTTTTTTTTTTTCTAAAATAGTTTTTTCTATAAGAAATCTATACCTTCCATTTTTTAAAATTTTAAAAAGTTAAATAATTCAATCAAGTATCTACCACTGAGCCTCCAACCCCGACCTTATTCTAGAACTATTTTACCTTACGCTCTTACAGACAAAACATAAATTTTTTTTTATTAAATAAATGCCCACTTTCAAATTTTTCTTTTTGTCGTCTCCTCAACGGTCTATTGAAATATTAAAATATTGAATAATAATAGAAGTATTAATTTCTACCAACAAAGTTTTTATGGTTATTTAATATAAATTAAAAAAAAAAAAATTCAAGAGGCAAGTAAATTAATGATATTTTATTCCATTTTTATTTCAGTTTCAGTTTTTTCTACGCCTGTTATTGGATTCATTTTTGGTATGAGAGTTGGCTTCAATTATGAGAGTTGGCTTCAATAATCTTTTTAAGATTCTAATTCATGAGATATGTGTTGAATAAAATGGTACATTTTGCATGAATTCTCACAAAGATAACACCAACGATGATGTTTTAAGCATGAATGGCAAATTATTATGATTCTTAAGAATTAAATTTGATGTGTATGAGCCTTTCGATTTAACCTAATTTGTATTTTAATATAAGTGTAATTGTACATATCATTTGACAGTTTCTTCAATTAAAAAAGAAAAAGAAAAAAAAAGTGATGTATTATAATTTCTACTCCTTCCAGAAATGAAGGCAAAGGCTCTGTTTGGTGGAGCTGTTCCGATCCAAAATTCCTTTTATTTAAAGGCCTTTGAAGAATACTTAGAAAAATGAATTTAAAAGAAAAAAACTGAGGATGCATTTTTTTAAAATTCCTTTAATAATTAACAAAGTTATAACTAGACAATTTTATCCTTCATAGCTACCCAAAATTTTTCACAAAGAGTACAATGATGGAGGTCATGTCTCTAGAGGCTGTTGGTAATGTGTAAATTTAAAAAACAAAAAAAATTGATGTGAGCACTTGTGTGCACCAATTAACAGAGACAAAAATACCTGAATAATTTCTTTATTAAAGAAAGAAAAAAGAAAAGAAGGGTGATTTAGGATAGTTTCTACATCTCCACGAAATAAAAAGAAATAATGGAAAATTGTTTTTAAAATATTGAAATGTGGGCTTAGTTACATTTACTTATTATTGCACTTAAAAATACATTTCAGTGAATATTATAGCAGAGACCAATAATTTAAAATTTTATACTCTAATATTCATTTCATAACCATATAATATCTCCAACTTGAAAGAGGAGGGGAGGAGTTTCACAGTAGGTATGGACAAAACTTATGTGACAAAAAAAAGTCATAGGTAGTAGTTTAAAGGCATTAATTAATTCTTTTTTATTTATTTATTTTTATAGCACGTGTATCAGTTCCATAGCACGTGTATCGAATCTCAAGAACTTATCTTCCGAATCCCTGCCAACGCTATACTCTCCTTGTCTTTACTTAACATACATGCTTAACTGTATGAATTATATTATCAAGATAAGTATATCATGTGTTATATATATATATATAGTTAATACCATGTTTATTGAAATAAAGGAGAGGCATGCTGGTACTGTGGTACAAAGTGACATATGACCCCAAAATACTACCCATTATAATGCTTTATAGAATAATATAAACTTTACAACTCGTTCCAGTTTTTGTGCCACTAAGTATAGGAGTCAAAATGAAATAAAACTAAGTATAATAAACACACATTATATATCATTAAAGTGACAATAAATATAATGATATTTGTATGAGAGTATGGACTGTATTTAGATTTTTAGTGTCACTTCCGTTTGATACAACTTTTGTTTCTTATTTTAGACAATAGAATTTGACTTGTGATATCGAAGCATCAACTTTGTAGTAATTCTATCCCAAATATTCAAACAAAAAAATTTTAAGTCAGCAATAACCTTGTGAATAAAATTTGTGATGGAACAAAATGTCACATATAATTTGTGATGAACAAAATCTGTCACACATTCATCATAAATCTCATGAATGAATTTTTTTTTACATTGTTGTGGACTTAAAAAAATTCAGCTAAATAACAAAAGTTATTCCTAATTTCCTAAATACCAATTGAACTATTTAAAGAATATCACATCCTCAATGCAAGAAATAGTGACGTTGGATGCTAATCATGCTATGGACCAACTCTCTCTCCCCAACTATTTCTCCAACCTCTGTCTTCGTCTGAGAAATCTAAAATAAAGTAGAAAACATGGAATTGTCTTTGCAGCAGCTTCTGGTTTGATCTGGTTTTTAGTTCCGAGGGTAGGAATGCGTTGATTTTCTTTTTTAAGTGTGTAATAAAAAGGGTACATTTGGGTTTTAAAAAGTTTCATTAAAACACTATTTTGGCTTCTAGGGTTTCTTAAAAAAGCATTTTGGAGGAACTGAGCATTTTCGAGAAACTAGGGAGTACCAGTTTCTCCAAAATGCTCTTCTAAAACTCAAGAACTCTTTAAAAAAAATTAGCCAAACACTACTCAAAACAACTTCCAAACTCAAAAAGCCAAGACCTGCATTTGAAAATAATAATAATAATTATTATTATAAAAAAAATAATCCTCTAGAAGTTGGTTGATATTTTTAACCATTTATCGGCCACTGTAACACTACTAACATTCTCAACATCCTTCAACTTGTAGACTGAGCATGGTGATATTAGTGAATGATTTGGTTGTAAATTTCTCAGGAATAAAAAACTAACTTTTTCAACAACTAAGTTGGCATCTTTGTATTTGTTTTCATTTTCAGGTTAAGTTATATTTAAAATAACCCTACTAGATAAGAAATACACTCACTTTGTTCCTTTAGGACTTGAACCCTCCACTTTTTCCTTTAAAAGGTGAGGAAGTACAAAGACTTGATATAAAACCGCCCAGATACTTCTTACCCTCATATTTGCCAGTTTTTTCAACCCATTATTTGTCTCTCATGGTAATCAATAATAATATTCCAATAGTCTTCAAATGGTAATCAATTATGTTAAATTCTCAACATGCATTTGTCACCAACAAAAATGACCAAAAAGAGAAAAGGAAGTGCGTATTTTCATCCACCCAAAAGAACTTCTTTTAAGGCCCTCATCATCAAATACCAACAGGATTTGTTTTTGTACAAGAGGTCATGGTTGCTAGTCAATCCAGATCCACGTTTCATTTTCTATGAAAGTTAATAACAGATAACCATACAATTTTTGTTTTATTTTATTTTTTCATTTTCAAATTCCGTTGTTTATTTTTATTTTTATTTATTTTTTATTTTTATCTTGGCAATGGTTAGTAGGTGGGGGCTCCAAAGGCCTGGACCCTTTAGCACTCGGGCAATACTCAATACTCACAGTACCTGTCTTTGTCATGTGATCTAAGCAGTCTGTTATATGAGAAAAATGTATACAACATTCTTCTAGACGATTCTGATTTTCAACAGCCCTTTCCGCCAAAGTAGAAGAAATACATGGAACACTAACAAACATGGGAAAAAAAAAAAAAATCAAGTTTTACAGGGGAAAAAAAATGTAAAAAATAAAGTTCACCTGCCGAAACATTTTAATATCCAAGAGGTAAGAGCAGATGAAATGAACTTCAGCCCCGTTGATCCACCAGGAAAGTAGGATACAACATAGTATGCCAGAGCAAGAACCTACAAGGATTGGTGAAACATCATTTTTAGCACCAGATTGAAACATCCATGGTATCCCATAATTTCTTCTTTTTCTTAACAGAATAACAGAAATGATTTTCACATTCCACTTTTATACACTTGCACTACACTTTCTTTTTCAATAAAAATAAATTAAACAATTGTACTTCAAAAACACTACCCTTTTTGAAAGGTGATTTTGTCGTATTCTGTATTAGAAACAATCAAGGGAAAGCCTACATAATGTCCCAAAAAAAAAAAAAAAACATAATGGAAAACCAAAAGATGCAAAAGTTATAGGAGGAAAAGAAAGCAAGAAGAAGAAGGTATAATAAGGGAAGCAAGAAGTTTGATACCTGTAGAACTGAGAAGAGCACGGAGAAAATGTAGCTATGTAGCACCATAGAAACATATATAGTACCCACCATACTGCCAATAAATCCCACTGTAAAAGGAAGTCTCTGTTGAGAAGGGCAAATATAATGAGAGAAGAAAGCGTGAGATATGTGAAATATAATTAACTTAAAGTAATCTGTAACAATAAACTGGTAATAAAAATATAGCTCAAATACCTCTTTTGATGACATGTGCGTTAACTGATTCTTTGGGCCTTTGAGTGCAAAGAACGACCCAATGATAAAGCCACATCCAAGAGTAAAGCAAATGGCAAATTTCTGAGGTACCAGCACCATGACTGGAAGGAACATGATAAATGCAATGGAAACAAAGAACACCCCAGTTGCTAGTAGTAAACCAAAATACATGAGGGATTTTCCTGAAGGGACATTACTAGTTGCAGACTGAAAGTTTCCTGGTAAGTCTTTCACTCCTTTTGAAACCCTGAACATGTATTAAACAAAAACGATATTACTGCCAAAAAGAATACAATCTTCATAATTAAATTAACAATGATGAAGATTTTCTCTCAAAAATTGACTAGTAATTCAGCCTCTGAGGAACACATTGAGATGAATCCAGGAATTTTGATTTAATAGATGATAGACATACGAAGAATACATTTAATAAAAGGTGAATTTTCTTAAAAGTTAAAAATGTTAGGAATTAAAAAACCATACAGATAATCCTTGAGTCCTTGACAGAAGCTAAACCCAAAAGCCCATGCACTTGCCCACAAGGCCCACAGAAAATCAGGGAACAATAGAGAACCAAAAATAATGTGTGGACATGCAACTATCACAGACAGTCACTCGAATAAATTTGTCACCAATGGTAGGCCAAAAAAGAAATCCAATTGCAGCCAATTTCAGGTTTGTAATTTTTTCTCTGATACTGTTACCACGAAGTAAGAATTTCTTTATGAGTAATGGTAATACTATCTTCTCACCATGCTGCAAATCAAGCAAAAAAGAAACAACTATCTACTAAATAAATTCTAAAACAAAATTTTCTACAAAATCCCTCATACTGTACCTTAAACAGAACGAATAGTTCTAGCATGGTAATAGCAGTAGCAATTATGTTAGTTATAACATAGGAAGATTCCCATATTTAGAGGAATGTTGTACATACCATCTTATTTATTGCATATCTTACTAAAAATGGCAACTCACTTGAATGTGTTGGGTTTCTTTATGAAGTACTTGCTTTATTTACAGTGTAAATTGCTGAGAAACTATCATGCATCTAGCTTGACCCAAAAGAAAGGGGCAAAGAAACTGTCTTGAGTCTCTCAAGTACCCTTATCACATTGATACACAGCTCATAACTAAAGGGACAATTTGGGTCTGGAATATCCTTTTATTTACTTATGGAACAAGGGGAGGGAAGGGGGCACGGAATTGCAATGTGAATATATATGTATGTATGTGTGTATATATATATATATAATATTTATATTTGGTATGAATGTGCTTAGATTAGAAAAGTACAGTAAACCTCTGTTTCAAAATAAAAACTTAACTTAATAGACGTCTAAAAGAACATAAGGCCCATTTAAGAGGATGAGCACAAAAAATGTATACGTGGAGATGGAGAAGAAAGGCAGCATCCTTTTGGGCCTCTCTAATGGACCAATGGTCCATATGGCAGAGTTACACGCTTGGGAGCTACTTCTAGTTTGGTTTGGTCGAGCCCACTTGGTTGAGATGCTTTTTCAGATAAGTCAGCTTTTTCATTATCAGAGGCGTTATTGTGCTTTATCAGATTCAGGGTAACTAGTAATCTTGTATCAGTTTGGAGTCTTTGGACTTCAAGTTAGTTGCTCATCACATGGTGCAGTGACAAAAGTTTATGATGCAAATGTAAGAACACAGGTTCAAGTCAGACGGCAGCCACTTCATGCAATTCTGCCAAAAGTTAGGTTTAAAATGAGTATGTCCCTCCCAAAACTCTTGATTAACAGTAACAGGAACCACATTGGGTAGAGTTTTGTTTTTCCGAATTGAAAGCCATGTTATTGATTTTTATCAAATCCTTTTATTGTTTGGGCTAAGTTGAATCTTTTTATAAAAAAATTGAATTTAAATAGTTTCTATTGGTGTTAACTATGCATCTATATAAGCAAGCCTTATGAAACCATTAAAAGAATGATCATCAAGAATTCCTTGTATATTGTTGCACTTTTTCAACAGTGAGAGTCTATTGTTCTCCATTAACCTCTTCTCTAGTCTCAACATTGTTGTGAAAAATAATACGCAATTTTCCAATAGTGAGAGTACATTGTTCTCCATTAACCTCTTCTTTAGTTTCTGTTGGTAAAAATAAATGCTTCATGTAACATTTAAGATATAACAATCCTTACACTAATATGTCATGAGATAATTAACAATATGATAAGAAATCATTAATTAAATATGCAACTTTATATTTAATTAAATATGCAAAATAAAATAATAATAATAAATAAAAAACCTGGACTAAGGCTAGTATTGGATACTATGTCCTTAAGACAGATTCTTTCCTTGCGTAGATTTTATTATATGTTTCTATTTAAGATATAAACAAGTAGATATTATACTAATAGTTGAGATATAATAAAATAATGTTACATACATTATTATATGATAATATGTTAAATATTAATGCGTTCAATATTATGTGAAATTGAAGCATATTATATAAGTATATTATTGAATTATTCAATATTGGTTGAATTATTTTAATTTTGTAATATGATATTATGAAGTATATGACATTACCTTAAACATGTGCCAACTAGAGGTGGAAAAAGGTACTTCGTTACTTTTATCAATGGTTGCACAAGATACTGTTATGTATATTTGCTATGAAGCAAAGATGAAACATTAGAAATGTGACACCATATGAATTATGGAAAAGTTGAAAACCTTTCTATAAATTCTTAAAAGTGTGGGGGTGTCTATTTAAGGTTGCAGATCCTACTCCTAAAAAAAGTGAGAGTGGACCTAAAATGTGATAACCTTGTAGGTGAGTGTATCATGGACGGGTGCAAGAGGCACTGACAGACTACCACACTAAGCGAGTTACAAGTGCACAGTCCCACACATAAAACCTTTGATAAGTTATGCTCATAATAGTATTGCATATCATTTTCTTATGCATAAATCATACAATGAAAATAAAGATGAGTTTAGAAGTAGTAAGAAGGTTAGAACGTCTAAATCTTTTATTCCTGATTTTCTAGCATGTTTATTGGAGAATAAGCCACAAAGTTTTAAGGAAGCAAATTCTTCTCTTGATTATTATTATTTCTTATATTAATTATGTGATATAATTAATCATGTGATATAATATGAAACTATATTGTTATACAAGTTTAATATTATTTTTATAAATGTTAACTTTTATTTGATACTATAATATTGAACTATGTAGTTGAATTACATAGTGTGCATAATAATTTAATTTTACAATATAGTTAATGTGTGATATTATTTACTTTATATATGAATTCATGACTAGTTTGTGTATTAATACAACAAACAAAAATTGACTAGTCTAACTATATCAATTCTCTTAATAGTCAAAGAAAAAAGATCTATACTAGTGTTTAAGGCATGTATAGTTGTGAATGGGCTGACTAAGAGAAGATTTTCCAATAACTTTAATGGAAAATGTTATGCATACACTAAGCAAATATACCGAGACAAGCTAAATCAAGCTAGTTAGCTCTAGTGTACAATTTAGCTAAAAGCTAAAATGTTATTGAGTTGCAAACTAGTTAGCTTAGCTATAAGTTAAAATGATTAATGAGGTGCACAGAACCTAAGAGGAAGATGAAAATCTGTTAGTTGGTTCTTGCTTTCTACTTGGTAGTAAAAAATACGAGGGTGATAAATAGCCATTTTAGCCATAAGCTATTTGAGTTATACATCATATCTGCTCATGTAAGAGTGAATAATACTACTTGTAAAATAGTAGTTTTTGAAGAATATTTTTCAAAACAAATTACTCTACTACCAAGGTAAACTACTTAGTTAAGTGTGTACTAAAGTTAAGAGCTACTATAATTGATAACTAAGCAAACTTAACTTCAAGCTAGTGGTAATAGAAGAGAAGTGGGTGCTCATTATAAACTAGTAGTAATTAATGAGAAGAGTGTGCTTAATCTAAGTTAGTAATGAGAGCTTAAAAACTCACTTTTAACTAGTAATGATAGTTGAGAAGTGAGTGCTTACTTTGTGGTGATGTATCTAAAGCTTAAACAATAAGTGAGTTATTTGTTTAAATGATTGAGTTATGTGATGTGCGACACATGAAATGTTATGACATGTTAATATGACTGACTTAACATGAACCTAAACATGGATAACTCAATTTATAAATACAAGAGATGTAGAAGCAAATATTAATTAAAGCCTATTGTAATTAATATCTCTAGCATTAATTCACAGTAAAGTCAGTGACATATTATAAGAATAAGCTAGAAATAAAGTGAATACATATGCACTAGAGACTGTTATGCATGCTTGTTAAGAAGCGAATATAGAACCTTGGAAAGGTAGATGAGGTGAAATATTTAATATATGGTATTTCAAAAGTTGGAAAACCATAAGAAATATATCATATATAAATTTCAGGATTATCCCAAAGTTGTGGGGGGATATTGTCCATAGATGAAATTTGCTATGAGTTACCTCACCAAATAAGAAATACTTATAAATGTAGGGTTCTTAATCCTAAGAGATTTTGGATAGAACCAAAAATCATTTATAGTATTATAAGAATAGTGCCTGTTGTTTCTTATGAGAAAAATATTATGGAACAACTAGAAGAGTTCTTTTTCCAGCAGAAGAGCTGAGTTATTTGTTCTAATTGAAGAGTAAAGTGTGCAAGCTTATAAGTCATTGAGTGGATTAAAGCTGGTACCAAGACAATGACATAAATGTGATGTATAAGTCATTGTATGCCTTACAAAAATTAATGATATACTAATTAGTATATTTGATATGAAAGATTTAACATCTGATAACACAGTATATTCTCAATAGAGTGGGATTGAGATAATACTAGTTATGATAACAAAAGCCTAGCTAACTTTTGTAGATGTAAATCTCAAATATAAATACAAGTCAAAGTATATCATTGGTTAAGATTGCAAGGCATCTTAATAACTGTGTTTAATTACACATTTTCAATCCAGGATTGGATCACTGAAAAACAATAAATTGGGTAGTTGAGATACACTCTAAATCCAATATTACATAGATCGAGGTATCTAACTAAATTGAAGGTGTAACAGTGATACAATCTGGATATGGGATATTAAAGACTTCAAATCCAAGAGTGGATATGTCTTTTATATTAAAAGTGTAGTTGTATATTCTTCATATAACTCAAAGTTAGAAACTTTGAATAAATCAAATAGGAAAGTCAATAGACTTCACCTAGAGGACATTTCAAAGTAAGTTTACACCTGTGCCACTAAAGAAAATAATTTTAGGGCACAAAGTATACAGTTGCTCTCACCTAGAGAAATCTCTGCAGAGTGTAATATTTCTAAACACAACCTTGTGGCCACATATAAAATTGATGGTTGTACTAGAGAGCAATTGTACAGATCATCGAGGGGAATGGGATTAAAAGCTGAAAGCTAAAAAAGTCACCTTAATGGAAACCCAACCTAGTTGACTGGAGATCCCAAGATCTAGGTTCAAAGGGACAACATAAATTCTGAGTGACTCACCAGAAGCACTGGGAAGATATAAATCTTCTGCCCATTTCTGTGATGAGACAGTGCTACCTACAGCGAGGATTAGGATAAGCTACGCTTTTAATGACTCTTATACCTTGAAAATTCAAGTGGGGTATGGTACGATACTCTTAATAAGAAGTCACCTATATGAGTGTGAAGTAGGGCCGCTTCTATGAGAACTATAAAGGCTAAGTTTTCTGGAGCACTCATTGAATACCAGGACTTGTTCAGGGCCAAAATGAACACAACAATGAGAACCAACTTTGTGAGGAAAACTACTGTGTGTTTGTTATTGTCTTGATTTACACAAACGGCTGAACAGTTCAAGACATCGTGTTCACTGGTTAGCCAGTAAATCCGATAGCAATACACTAGGGAAGGTTCAAAGCCAAAAGCCACCTATCCTGATGCAGTAACTTTTCGACTATACTCTCTCTAGTGTCTGCACGATCATCTTTTGCATTTTACGCAAATTTCCATTCATGTGGGGAATTGTTGGAAACGGGGGCATTAAAAACTTAAACTTTAGATGAGGTTTGGAATAGATTCCGCTAATAATTTTTTACGGATCTCTAGACGAGCGCGTGTCTCTCCGCAAGGAGATGAACGTAGTATATTTACTTTTTCAAATCCGTTTCCGGGTGAATGAGAAATTAGCTCCAAAGTGTGGTGTTTTGATAAGCCTAAATGGGTATGCAAAATGTGGGAAGTGTTTGGCCCACATGGAAAAAAATGTTGAAACTAATTGAAATTTAAATAAGTCAAATTTGGGCTTGGGCTCGGGCCTAATTGTAAAATCCAATTATTCTTTTTACTAAATGGAATCTTGGATTGGGCCTTTAATTTTGGGCTGGGCTTATTTAAATAGGTGGTTAGTTTTTGAATTTAAATTAAAAGTTAGTTTTTTTTTTTTTTTTCAAAGGGTTGCATCTATATCTAAAGGGTAGCATCTATTTTTCAAAGAGTTGCATCTATTTCTAAAGGGTTGCAACTCAAAACCAATAGACATAACTATTCATGTGAACCATTGCAACCTATTGGAATGGATGTGTCCATTGGTGAACAGACACCATGTGAACCATTGCAACCAATTGGAATGGATGTGTCTATTGGTGAACAGACACCATCTGAACCATTACAACCTATTGGAATGGATGTGTCTAGTGGTGAATAGACATCATGTGAACCATTGCAACCTATTGCAATGGTTGTGTCCAATGATGAAGAGACGTACCCAATCCGAAAAGGCATTTCTATTTCTATAAATACCCCCCTTTGGATCATTTGCTTTTGATTCATTTTTCATTTTCTTCTATCTCCCTCTCTAAACTTGAACCCAACTCAAGTGGGTTCAAACCATAGGTTAAGTGGTCCGAACCACTTAGACTCTAATCCAATTTCATCGAACCATATTAAGATTGGTCCGAACCATTTTGAGTCAGAGAGAGTATTACACGGAGGAGGTTCGCCGTATCCATGAGTTTGTAGTGCTGCTACTGGTATGTAGACTGTTGTATCCTGGGAGATAGACGCCACTGAGTCCGTAAGCACTATAGCAGGGCGAATCTGTCTTAAGGACATAGTATCCAATACTAGCCTCGGTCCAGGTTTTTTATTTAGTATTATTATTTTATTATTTTATTTTGCATATTTAATTAAATATAGAGTTGCATATTTAATTAATGATTTCTTATCATATTGTTAATTATCTCATGACATATTAGTGTAAGGATTGTTATATCTTAAATGTTACATGAAGCATTTATTTTTACCCACAGTTTCAACATTGTTGTGAAAAATAATAGCCACAATCGGCCCCTTAAATAGCCTTTATATATCCCTAAACCAGAAACCTTTAATCCTAAAAACATAACCCTAAATTAGCCCATCTTTCTTCTTATCCATGAATCACTTGTTTATTTCTAGGCTTCTAACCCTGCAGTGCACGAGCAATAACCACAACCAATCTTCAATTAGCATATCCCCTTCATTCCTACAACCCAAATCCTAATTTATCACACCTCTATCGACATAAAATCTTGATTTTTTCCTCCCTCAACATTTTTTCCATAACATTTGTGTTCTAACTCAACATTTAAATTAGCCATAAACACCAACTAATTTCAACCGTATTCCATACTCAAGCTCTAATCTTATCTTGCCCACCATAAACCCCTAAGCCCTAGCCACCATATAAGTTAGACACATAACCTGAAGCAATTTAAACTGCAAGCATTTCACATAACCTGAAGTAATTTAAACTGCAAGCATTTCGTATGCACCATATACTCAGTGTGAAGAGTTAAAATAGGCATATCTATATGTGTGTGTAACCTCTAATTCTGTTGATAATCGTGCCCTCCATCACAAACACAATTACAAGCATAATCGTATATTCTCACAACATTTGAATTAAACGCATGCCTATATATATAAGGGATGTAGAATGGAGAGAGAAGAGTGAAGGAGCTTACACGTTGAAAGTGCCGGTGACGGTGTCGTTGGCGGACCTGACGGCGGATTCGAGATCGAATACTCCAGGCGTGGTGGTGCTCTCTTCTGAGGCTTTTGAGGCTGCGTATGAGTTCCAATCGGAGAGCAGAGACGACGACGTTTGCAGCTCTTGTTGTGGTCCACCATCGTCGTTACTGCCCTGTGAAAACCACTTGTGCATTGTTATCAGTACTACTGCTTCGAACACTTAACTGTGAATCAAATTCGAACAACAGCAAAACCGAGAAGGATCGAATCAACGATAGTCGAAGGCCTCGCCGAGACTGTGCGCTCACCTTATTAATGGCATCTCAGTGTGTACGAACTCGTTTGGTGAATGATGGAAAATTAGAAGGAAAGGAAAGGTAGGACACTGACCCATCCACCTCCAGATTTGGTAGAATTCCAAGGATTCCACCAATAATAGAAGTTGGGCAATTACCAATTTGGGTCATTGGCTCCGAGTCTCTCAACATTGTTCACTTCCAAAATTTTTACTCATTACTCTCTTTTATTTTGAGTAATTTAAATTCATTTTTTTATATTATCATTTTTTATATTATCATTACTCTCATATTAAATATTTAGGGTCAAGTGCAAAAAACACCCTATAGTATGCTTATAGTACATATTGCACCCCTCCCGTACAAAAAACACCCCTAAACTATGCCATTTGTATAAATAGGTCCTATTTATAAAAATTGAACTAAAATGCCCTTAGCAACACATTTTATAATATATATATATAATATATTTTGTGAAATGACTAACAAGGGTTTGACCCTTCTTCTTCTTCTTCATCTTGGTGCTAACCCAGGACGTCCATCGAGAGTTTGTTCTGGCGTTAACTCTTTAAGGAAGTGATGGCGGTACCACACTGAAAGTAAATAGAGGGCCTACGATGGAGAAGGGGCTTCATCCAGCAGAGGGGTAGAGCTCGAGAAAGGTAATGCTTGGCTTGCTTCGTTATGTCGGTAGTTGTAAGATTGGTAGTTACAGAGTGGGAATTTTTTTTTTTTTTTAGAATTTGGGAATAGGAAAGGCAATGGTCGGAATCGGAAGAGTCAGAAAAGCGGGAGGGTAAGAGAAACGGGGAGAGCCCGTTCTCGCCACCATCCTTGTCGCCGGCCTCAGTGAGTTACCGCTGCGGTTCACGCCGAAAATTTCAGCATCAGGTCGGATATTTATTTCCGCATCAGGCCGGAATAAAGAAGCAAGCCAAGCATTACTGCCCATGAAATTTATTCCCGCAACAGCCGAAAATTCAGGCCGAAATTTATTCCTGCATCAGACCGGAAATTTCAGTTCTCAACCCATCGCCGGAAATTTCATTAGTTCATGAAATTTTAAAAAAAAAAAAAAAATGAGAGATACGTATCATCTCCTCATACGAGTAATTTTTTCAAATTGAATTTATTAGCAAATTGAATTTATTAGCCAAAGTTGATGTAAAAGCATGGTCCATCATATCATATAATAGCAAATTAATAACATAAATTTATATTTTGTTTAAATGTAATAAAAATATTTTCTATTGCGTAGGCTGGACCTGCTGGTGTGTTCACACGCATGGAAGTATTTTCATCCATACACCGCAGGCCACTGTCTCTCTCTCTAGATTTGAACACAATCAAACAGTTCATCAATGCAGCTCAAATAACAGTACCTATAAGCATTGGTTGTGAATTATATTGCAAATGTGCTGGCAGACACAGCTCATGTAATTTTGATTACTAAGCACGAGTACAGGAGAAAAAAAAATGGAGGAGTTGACATTTAAGAATTTACATTACCAGTTTTGCCTCTTTGTTTTCGTTTAGGTTCTCTTCAAACTCATTCAGTTGATTCTTCCTTTGAGTTTTCCATAATCCAAATGTGTTGCAAGTCCAATGTAGGAGCCCCAATGTATCGCCTTGCCAACCCGGCAACTCCTTTGGAGAAAGAAAAAAGGTTAAAAGAGAAAACAGAAAATGAGTTTAGGGGCATTTTTAGAAGAGTAAAAAGGTAAAATAGGCATTATATTAATTGAGGGGTATTTTCGCACAAATTAAAAAGAATAGGGGTGTTTTTTACACACGTTTTTAAATATGGGGTAAAAGTGCTATGAAATGTATATTTCATGGTGTTTTTGCACTTTCCCCTGAATATTTGTGAATTAAAATTTTCAAAATAAACATCTAATATGAAACTGAAATTGAAATAGTTTCACTTTTGCCTTTTCTTTAGGCCCATTGAATAATATTGTGTCATACCATCAATTAAAAATAAAAATTGAGTTCTTATGACTATTTTTTTTTTTTAACACTCTTATGACTAATTGACTTATTGCCTTTTCGTAGGTTAGTTTCTTAAGTTAGAATTCCTCTCAAACAAAAACTACTAGTAAATTTTTTAAGAAAAAATAATTGAAGATAGAGAACTAGATGGAGAAATTAAACAATGACATGGACCGGAGATCAGTTTTTATTTTTATTTTCACGCATGTAAATATTGTGATAAATGTAAAGGATATAGATGATTGTAGTAGTACTCATTAGAGATAAAATAAAATAATTGATTAAGATATAAGTTCGGTTAGATGAAAAATAATGATAAAAAATGAAAGGGAATTAGTAACGGAAACAGTTTTCTGTTATAAAAAAATTCTATTTGGTTTTATTTTTTGAAATTTCAGTTAAAAAAAAAGAGGTTATTTTCAGAGAATTATAATAAAAAATTCTGAGTTCTTGATAACTGTTTTTAAAGTTACAAATCAAACAGGCCTAAATTTCTAACATGCATTTGGATTGGAGAATTTTTTTCAAGAAAGGAGTTGGAAAGCCATTTCATGGTTTGAATAGAATAAAAATTAAAAGAAATTGTTATGATTTACTTAAATTATCTTTATTTTATTTTAAAAGGATAACATATCTAAATATTTTTGGTCTTTTTTTAAAGAATAAAAACTATATAAGAATCTAAACAATTAATTTTATAAAACATACTCAGAGATGCACACCATTATACTACTCCTATAGAAAGTTATACTTTAGATTATGTCAAAATATCTTATGCCTATTCAACTCCCATGGAGGCATAGCAAGTAACATTGCTTTATGGAAATCTTGTATCATTTTCTGCTTCCTTTGACGAATATATATTTCATTATAATACAGTCGATTCCAAATTCATAGACAAATGTATTTGCACACCAACTAGATACATATGTTTCCACCAGCAATAGGTAGGAATTCTAAATCTAAATAAAGAATCTTAGCATCCAAAGTAATCTATGAGACCGAAAACACAAAGGTGCAAATAAATCTGGGTATTTAAGCAAACTCTGAGTAGACAATATATAACAAAGATGAAATCATAAAACTTTCAAGAGCTGCACTTCAAATATCAATGGCTCCTTTGCATGGGACAAAAGGCTACGTCGAGGGCCGAACTGCAGAACCATAAAATAACAATATGCATAAGATATGTGGGTTACTTAAGTTTAAATTAAATGGAAGTGCAAGCAAGGAGAGGCTCCTCTCTCAAAGGAGAGACCAACAAGGTTCAAAGAAATAGTCCACCGGACAACAAAAGTTCAGGAATTTTTAGAAAGAAAATGGAGAAATAATAATGGGAAAACCTCATCAGGGATTGGGCTTAGGTTCTCATTAATGTATCCCACCGAAGGAGGTATCAATGCTCTTCTCTTCCCTGGAAAAAATAAATCCAACGAAGTTTGAAAATTTGAAGCATTCTAGAGTTGTGCCTATTATTAACTACAGTTGTGCCTTTCTGAAACAAGTTCGTCAAGACCAGTTGTACATCTGTCATCACGAGTAAGAACATACCTCCAACCTTCATGCCAATAAGTACATCCTTCAGGCCCTTTATTATCTGTCAAATGGTATTATTTGTAAATGAATTAACAAGGAAAAGGAACACACAAAAGGGGGACAGATGACCAGTGTAGCAAGTATTTCAAGTTACCACATGCCAGCACTGTGGGAATCATCTACTTTCTCCCACCCTCACCAAGACAAAAAACACACACACACAATGAAAATGATGATGATGATGTAGAAGAAGAGAACCATATACTACCCAAAAAACTCCAAAAATATTCTAGAGACGTTGTATTCCCCATTTTAACCGAAAATAACAAAGAACTTATGATCATCATTTAACTACAGCTTTTCCGTAGAACCCTCTAACCCCCGAGAGGACAACATACTACTCTCATTCCAAGTGTTCCACATAACAGACAATGGAGCTATCTCCCAAATTCTCCTAACCCTTTTCCACTTGCAAGCCTTTATTTATTTATTTTTTTTAAAAGACTCACAAGCCTTCCTCCAACATACTATCAAATCCTTTACCATTCATGGTAAGACCCTAACATTGGCACTATGACACCCTTAATTCCCACAATTAAGAAGCAAATGATTATACTCCCCACCCCCAAACATCCTCTTCACACATGCAACATGCACTATGTCACGATCCATAAGAATGCTCCATGACTCCATACTCACAATCACGAAGCAAATGATTTACACTCTCCCCCAAACTCTTACAGATAGAATACCATCCATAAGCATCTACTTTCTCCTCCTTAGATTATTACTAGTTTAAACAGCTTCCAAAGCTGCCTATTACAAAACATTGACAACAGAGTATAATAAGATTCACAGGCAGTCTTACAATCTCGACTGCCCTTCCAAGTGGATAGATTCCTCCCCATCCCTCTAATATTACGTCCATATGGTAATTCAAGCAAGGCACCTACTGATTCCAAATACCAATACTGGAAGCTCTTCTGAAAGTAGAAATTCATCACTCCATGAAGAGAAAACCAATGTGACTTCAGATGGAGTCCAATTAAGTAAGACAAGCAAAAAAACCAATACAAGTGAGTTAAAGGGCGTAAGACTGTAGTCTTATATACTTATAATTGTATGCTACTGCAGTCTTTCACCACTTTAGGAACCAAGCTAGCACTATTAATCACTCTCAAGGAAAATTTGACAGTAGCCAAAAATTCACATCTGGTTAGTGTTTTCGACAATTTGACCGTTAGGAAAATATTGAAATCTCTTAACTCTTTATGTTTCTCTTTCATGTTTAACCCCATGGATTCTAGACAACAGCCTTCATGAGACGGTTACAAATGGAATCTTTACTTTCCCTTTGGGCATTCTTCCTACTACCTTTGACTGGACCCACCTGTGTCAGGTTTTTATTTTGCTTTTTCGTCTGCCTTTCTATTCTGTCCTCCACATTGATTCATGGACCGAACAACATTTTCTCTTTCCAATCCTCATTTTTTTTTCACCAAAACTGCAAACCTCACAGTTATCAAATCAACCTCCTATCAAATATACCTGGACTTTATCAATCAAATCTTTTAATGTATCAACTACCTTGCACATAAGGTTTTTGCTTTGCAATCTGGTCTACAGGCTCGTAAAGGCAATACAGACTTGGTAAGAAGACATAATAAGTTACTTTGTTAAGACATAATATAGTACTTTATAGAGACCATATCATTAACCCCTTGTAGCTAACAATGGTCCACTGTTAGAGCTAGTAATGATGACCACAGTAATGGCAAGGCATGATTACAATTAATGCTCCTTATTTAACTCTGGCTAATATTAAAATTCCTAACCAGGTCAGAAATATTCAGAATAAAATGTGTACAAAGATTTCAGTTGCCCAAAAGAAAACCGGGAAGGAAAAAAAAAAAAAGAATTCAACACCAATTCCCCAAGCTCTTAGGAGACTAACATGGTTAACAAAAAGGTTGTTCAGGCTCTAACATGAGAAAACAAAACATAGCTAACCTGCTTCTCATCAAGAGGAAGTACAATGGGACTGCTTTCTCCACTGAATTGATCCACAGTGCTACATGAAAATACAATATAAGTCAAGCTCAAGAATGAATTCTATATGACATGATGAGCAGGGCTGGCTGGCTAGATACAACTAGGCAAAAGTTAGGAGGTCTTTTAATATTTTATATATGAACCTATTAGAACTTTGAAAGACTAAGAAAAGACAATAAAAAGTGAGAAGTCCAGAATAATAAGAAAAACGTATGAGAAAAGAGAAATGGTGAAGTAGAATATACTTTAAATTCATTAGAATACATTTTTTCTTTTTTTGGAAGTTCATTCATTAGAATACTTATTTTAAAGTAATCTAATATATACTTGACCTTCATCAAGTTTTGTGGGTCCACATCAAATACCTTGAGATAATTTAAACCTGCAATAGGTTCTGCATAAGAGAAATACAATGAGTCCTTTTCCCATGTGAGGCCTTAGGCAATTGCTTGATTGCCAAGTGAAAGAGACGGCCCTGGTGAAGGGGTAATTTTCAAATAGTTTATGGGCAAGAAAGTAGACTAGAAATTAAGAATACTATTTAAGATGATAAAAAAATGCAAACTGCACAAGTTTAAGTTGGGACCAATGGTTCAAGGAATCATAGTTTCATGTACTCTACATGATGTTTAATAAATCACAAAAAATAAAATAAAATTACCTATGCACAAAATATCCATTTGACCGCCGGCAAACATAATTAACTTCAACCAAATCTCCTTCACGAGCCTCTGGTCCTTCCCCTTCAACAATATCTTGAAAAAGGAATCCAGAAAGTCAGCACAAAATTCAGCATTCATACACAAATGAGGAAAAGGGCTAGGAAGAGTTTGAGTTCTATGTTGTATATGTGGCAGAAAGACAAGACATATTCCCATTAGTGGCTAGAGAAACAGCTATCAAGGATTCAAGGGTCATTTAAAATTTACTGAAATTTTGAAGATAAAGAGATGGATTAGGTTGAATAATGTGATATCAGTTAGCCACATTCAAGAGATAATTAACCTATTTTTGTGATATGTCATTAAGTATTCATCTTAATAGTTCAATATGATAAGACTTTATCAAGTTGTTTACCTCAAATGACAAGTATATAAATTCAATTATGTTAAATGTGGAACATGAAGAAAGTTCTACCTTGTATCCTCACTCCATTACCAAGCTTCTGGGTCCTGTGATGCTTCAAATCCGAAATAACAATGACATATAAGAACTACGGACAAGAATAATCAATGAACCTGAAACTAATCCTCCTTTCTTCCAAGCTGAGGGGGAAAACACACACACGCACAAACACACACAGCATTTACCGAATTACTTCAGGTTCCTTCATCTCTTGCATTGGTGCGGCCAGAACAGGACAAGAATTTAGTAGGACAGAATTGAATCCCAGAAACTGCAAAAGCGACCTTCTTGGCAACTTTTTGACTATCAGGGAAGGGAATCTGTTACCCAAGTTCTTAGCCACAAAAATCTTTGATTGCTCATTGTGCATGCAACTGGTATCATGCAAAATTTACAGTCAGGTATTTTAGGGGATATGTCCAAACTCCAAAATACCATTCATAGTCATCAGTAAAACTAAATTTTCTAGGTCAAGTTTGAAATGACAATTTATGTGATAAAGACAAACAAGTTGATTTATACTCCTTATTTATTGTGATCATATTTAAAAACTAGAATCTATGCAGCGATATAATTCCAGTTTCGTAACAACCTTTTTGGCAACCCTTGCTTTTCGCAGTTATTTCAACTAGAAAATGAAAATTGATGTTTTTGAGATGCATAATTCATGAAAACCAGTGTAACATAGTTGATTGATAAAGAAATCCAAATTGGGCATCTTAGTTTATCTTCTTCTTCGAATTCATTCAAGTAAGGGTGATTTTGTTACAATCACTCATACTTAAGAAAACAAAGAAAACACTTTTCTTCACTATTTCAAATTACATCCTCCAAATAAATGTAATGCGAGCATATTTTATCCCATTAAGAAACCAAATAAATGAATTTCAATCCCAATTATTTCAAGCTTCTAAAAACATGAATGGAGCTAACCATATTACTTCTACTTCCCTGGTGGATGGAATAATAATAAGCTGTTAAATGGTTAACTTTCAGCGTTATATTTAATCTGAAAACCATATATTGGAACTTTATGAGTTCACTGAACCCTTTCCAAGTGGTGCACAAACAAACTAATACCAATATTTAAAAAATAGTTAAATCATACTTATTAAAAAAAAAAAAAAAAAAAAAAAAAAAAAAAAAAAAAAAAAAACCGGAAAAGCATGTTTACCTTGGAGATCTGAACGCGCCTGGAAATTGGATAAGGAATTGAGAAGAAGGAGCTTCCATTGAGTTCCCAAACGAAGAGTCTTCAAGAGTTGCAGGTTATTGTAACAAGGGATAAGAACGGGACTGCTTGAAATTGTGTATGTAACTCTTTCTGGCCCACATCGTAGATGATAACCGCTCATTTATTATTGATGTGTGAGAGTTTATTTCGCGCCATGATCAAGCTGGCCGTACCCATTGAATCGGGCAGGAATCACCAGTAGTTTTGAACCGTCCGATCAAGAAATAGAACCTCGCCCTTAACTAATCTTTTTTTTTTTTTTTTTTTTTTTTTTTTTGGGTTAATTTAATTTCAGTGACACCTCATGTTTGTTTAAATATCACATGTAGATATCCTTCGAAAATAAGTATGACTTAAACCCAAATCCCTTTTCCGTCTCCAATACCGTTAAAAAGCTGTGAATGTATATATTTTACCCTCATTTTTTTTAGGATAATGCGTAGCTACTCACCGGTGAGTAGTTTTGTGTGTTCTAATAATAATTTACCACATCAGCTTTAATTAAAAAATAACTCACTATTATTCAATGGTTGATTCAAGAAAATACAGGATAGTGTGGATTATTTTTTTATTAAAACTGATGTGATAAATTATTATTGGAACACACAAGGTGTGAATAGGGTGAAGCTACTCACCGGCGTATTATCCTTTTTTTTATGGGAAAATTACATATAAATGGAGTCAAAGTTCCATATTTACTTAGAGACTGAGTCAAAATTCCATATTTCTCTAAAATGGATTGCTGAGGTGGCACATGGTTTTTTACTGTTTAGAAAATTGTGGTGCCTAAAATGCCCTTCCCTAACAAAAAAGTAGTACCTTCAGTGCAAAAAAGTAGTACCTTCAGTTCAAAAAAGTAGTACCTTCGGAAAAAAAGTAGTACCTTCGCGGGTGTTTAAAAAACATGGTACCTGGACGCCAAAAAGTAGTACCTTCAGTTCAAAAAAGTAGTACCTTCGAAGGAAAAGTAGTACCTTCGCGGAAGGGTATTTTAGGCACCACAATTTCTAAATAGTAAAAAACCATGTGCCACCTCAGCAATCCATTTTAGAGAAATATGGAACTTTGACTCAGCCTCTAAGTAAATATGGAACTTTGACTCCATTTATATGTAATTTTCCCTTTTTTTATTATACTTTAATCCAAAATATAAAAAATGTTGAATAACCAAATTGATCTCATTGATTACTATGACCCACAATTATTTCTCTTTAACTTAACATACGTCTTTTTGTATCAGTTCATCTCCTAATAGAGGTTTTTTCGCTATAGCTCGTCACGACTTACGACGTCACCGGAACTGTTGGTGCTGTATTTCTGTGTTGTTTGCCCGAAATAATGGAGGTTTCTGAATTGGAGCAAGGCGGTTTGTTTTGTAGCTCACTATTTGGGTCCCTTGAAGCTTGTCTTATTGGAACTGAAACACACAGTAATGAAGCTCGCCGGAACCAAAGCTTATTAGAACTGAAGTTTGCTGGAACTGAAGCACACTCGAACTGAAGCTCTGAGTTGTCGCTGAAGGTTTTTTTGTAGTTTCCACCGACTGAAGCTCACTTGAATTATGCACCAACTGAAACACACCAATCTTTTGGGTCTGAATGAGGCTCATCGGAAATTGTTCTCAATTTTTTTGGTCGGTGATACTCAAAGCCCACTCAGTTTGCTCTTAAGCTCACCTGTTGGGTACTGTAGCTTTCACTATTGGTTTGTCATCACTAAGGCTTTTCCGGTTGGTTGCAGTTCTAAAACTCAAGTTGGTCATTGTAGGTGCAAAATTTCTCTCTATTAAAATAAATAAAAAGAAAAATACAACTCACTCAGAATAAGCAATTATAATACTTAAAGATAAGTGTATAATGCTCCATCCTTTTATTGGAAGTCTAGGCCTCTATTTATAAGAAATAAGGTGGTGGAATTATGGTAGGACTCGCCTGGCTTGTCCTCCAATCCATTTCATATATGACATTCTATACAATTATAATCATTTCCTTTTTACAATTCTTTCCATGCAAAACTTTCCTTGCACAGAACTTGCTTTCTTTGCTGAATCCTTTGTCTAGCAGGACTGGTCTACCTTTAATTGAGATTGGGCTGCGTGTGGGCTGATCCAAATGATTCGGTAAATGGGCTTAGAGTTCAACCTTGGCTCCACGGGCTGTTGACGCTTCCACTGGGCCTAAATTAGATTGTACGCATCTGGGCTTAGTAAATGGGCTGAATAGCCTGAGTCAGCGGTCTATTTGGAAGCAAGACTTTGCCTACGCTTATTCCGGATTGGGTTCTCCCAATTTAGGCTTGATACCGATCGGGCTCTTGTTGTATCTAATATAAATTTGTAGTGTGATGACGTGGACGATTCTTACTGGAGGGGGGATTTTTTCCTTCCACACTTTGCCCCCAATTCCCTCTTTAATTGGACTATGGCTCCTAATTAAAAAGGAATTGAAGTTGCACGGTTGCCAATTCTACAAAAGGCGGTTCAAGGTGTGTCCATTGCCATTCTGACTAAAAGGCCTCTTCATAGCTCGTTCCTGACTCTGCGACGTTTACTGTGCTTATTACTTCAACATGATCTTAGGTTAGTTCCTCATTTATTTGTCTAATTAATTTCACATCATGAGCTCCTCATCCACTCACGATCGTATAGACCTTGTAGATTCGGATTCCACAACTTCTTCTTCTCTCAATCTCATTAGGATCTCTCCCCCTAGGGTTTCTGACCTGGTTAAATTCACAAATGATTCAGCTATTCAAATGGATGCCTCCCCTTCACAAGCTGAAGTATCCACTTCTGGGTCAGATTGTGTGTTTACTAAAGAGGAGAGAGAGTTGATTTTGTCTGTTCGGCATATCAAGTTTTCTATTGAGTCTGTAACAGAGGATTTTGAGATTCCTGATGGGGTAGACATTGTCGAATACCCAGAAGGGGCTGATTTCAGTTCCGACAAAAGGCGTAAGGGACAATGAATTACTTCTATCAGTTGGGCACCTTAACGCTCTTCGGTTCCCTCTTCACCCCTTCTATCATCTAATCTTTAATAAGTTAGGACTTGCCCCTCTCTAAGTAAACCCTAACTTTTTTCGAGTAGTCTCAGCACTTCTAGTTCGTCGAAGGCTGGAGAGTCTTGACTTGACTCTTTCTGATTTACTCATTACCTATACCATCGCCAGGCATGGGATTGAGCCTGGCCGTTTTTACTTCACTTCCCCTCTTCAGCAGAGGATATGTAAGGACCTCCTTTCCTCCGAGAAGAAGTGGAAAGAGAGGATGATAATTGTGAAGGGGAATTGGTCTGTGGATAAATCGAATACCCTCCCCATTCCTTGCAAATTTGGGAAGCTAGGTATAAAATATCTTCCCTCATTCCATGAAAAGTGCTCTAGTTGTTTCCCATGTCAAGTTTTATTATTTCATCATACTTATGAATTTCTTGGTCTTCTTTCAGCAACATTCCTCTCTTCCGCAGCTAAGAAGAGACTTGCTTTTCTCGAAGCACAAGTTTAAAGCGAGCCCCCTTCTGTTGAGGAGTTACTCACTTCATCCAACTTTCAAGAAATTGCTTCCAGTGCCGCAGCTGTAGACGTTCTGGATTTGGCACTTCCATCCTTTGACAGCTTCCCCCTGACTGAGGAAGAAAGACAGAGAACTGAAGCTCTGAAGAAGAAAGCTGCTGAAGAGCAACCTCTGCTAGTCATTAGGTCGATTGAGCATGAGAAGGAGGTAGATGAACCTCCTCTTAAGAAGACAAGACCAAACCCTTCTTCCAGCAGCAAGGGCAAAAACATCCCCAAAAGCAAGTGGAAGAAGGCTGGGGAAACTGACCCAGAGGAGGAAGTCCGAGCTTATGTTCAAGCCGAATCTGGGGAACCTTGGAGACCTGTCTTCTCAAGGGCTAACAAGTCAATCCTTCACTCCGGGGATTCAATAGTCTCTGACCCTCTACTGCCTTAGCGGTTGCTCGAGGGATGTGGCTACTCGAGGATAAAGAAATCATTGGATCAGCTACTAACATCCGCCCCAGTTGATGCTGTGAAGGTTTATTCTTTTCCCTTCACTTACTTAATTCTTCATACTTCTTTTCACCGCATATTTACTGATATTGTCATTATTGATTATGTAGAGTCTGTACCAGACTATGGCACTGTGTGCCACTGCCGAAGCTCAGTCTATTTCCATTAAGAAACTAGAAAAAGACCTGGGCAATGCTGAGAAGAAGGCTTCGCATTTTGCTACGAATACGAAGATCGCTTCTGATGCGAGGGATATCTACAAGAATCGCCTGGCTGCTTTTGAGGCGAAGGTAGAGACTCTTGAAGCTGAAGTCCAGCGCTTGAATGATGTCATTGGTACCTGTATTACTGCTGGGAGACAAATACAAAGACGCTACTCCACTATTGTGCGCTTATCCAGTGCAAAAGCTTTTAGGTTTGGCTTCAGCCAAGGTTCTGATGACAAAGCAGAGGATCCAGAAGCCTTTGATGTTTACATGGAAGTGTCCTTCACTTATGTTAAGGGTCTAAAAGCCCAAGAGGTTGAGGTGCTCTTTGCTGAGATGGTGAAAGCTCATCCAGAGGGTCATCCAGCTTCAAGCTTCCCAGCTCCTCCATCTTCTGACCTGCAAGCTCCTTTATCCACAAGTCCGAATGTAGTGGATGCCTTTGACTCTGCTCCCTTTGATCCAAAAAGGAAGTAGAGTTGTGTAACTTTTTTTTTTTTTTTTTTTTTTTTTTTTTTTTTTAAGGAATGAATGTAGAAACTATATATTTTTGCTCTTGAAATGCAATAACTACATGTAATACTCCTAATTTCAAAAGGATAGTCCTGGTATTTAATTGCTTGTTTAATTACATTTTTAGTTAGTTTAATTGTTTAATTGCATATTATTTGAATTGATTGATATTTGAATTATTTGATTTAATTATTATTTTTTTCATTATTTGACTTTAATTGAATTATTGTACTCGTTTAATTATTTGAAAAAGTTAAAAGTGTTAATTGTAAATTAGGATTTTATTTTTCTTTTATGATTGACGTTGTACTTGTTTAATTATTTGAATAAGTTAAAAGTGTTAATTGTAAATTAGGGTT